CCCGCGCCGCGCTCGTCGGTCGTGGGGTCCGTCACCTGTGCGGGGCGGCGTGCGTGAGCTGGGCGCGCGGGGGAGGGCGCGCGGGAGGCGGGGGACGTACGAAGTTCGCCGCGAGCGGATCGGCGTGTGTGGACGAGATGGTGGGGTTGGCGACGCCCGGGTAGAGGTCGACGGCCTTGTTGCCGCCGAGGGAGACGTCTTTGTCGTTGAGAGACATGTGTGGGTTGTGTGCGGGGTTGGGTGCGGGAATATGGTTGGTCGTGAAGCTTGCTGGGGTCGCACGGGGACGGGCGTGGTTATATGCGCTGGAGGATGAGAGGTGGAGCGGAGCCGGCCCCAGCAGGTGGGGCCCGTGGCTGCTGTCGTCATTGGTCTCCAATAAAGAGTGCACGTCCCTCTTTACTCTCGCAGGGCTTGATCTTGTTCAAACCCGTCGGTCTGTATGCTGGCCAGTAGTTTGTAAGATCGCCCTAGGGGCCCTAAGCTAGTGGGCTGTGCCGGTCCATAGTACCATCAGCAGTTCGCACCAGCTATTGTGGCCGATGATTTGGTCCAATTGTGAATATCTGCGGATTCGAGCGACAGATGATACAAAACATAAACACCCAAGTGCTGAGCACAGACGAAGAGCTGGTGGCTTCAGCGGCTAGAAGGCGCGCGCAAGAGACGGAACGGTTTAGGAGCGATACAGACATCAGTTAAGATCAATCAAAGCCAGGTGAATATTGAGACGGGAACAAGGGTGTTGTCGTCGAGTGAGCATGCGGGACACAAATACGCTGTCGGCGACGGTGCAAATTGACTGTTACGCTCCCGCCACCACGATGCCCGCGCCGACGACATGCTCCCCGGCGGACCTCCACGACCCCACAAGCGCAGCGTACAAGAAAGCTAGGAGACTGCACCTCAAGACGACGAGGAACAGATCCGACCACGCCGAGGCCGACTGGACGCCATTCCGAGCAGCCGAGAAAAAGTACAAGGCACGCTTCCCGCCGCCTGACCTCTCTCATGTCCTCGACACTGCAGCTTTGGACCCGTCTCGATCAGAGGAAGTGTCGAGGGGTGGATGGAGGGGAAGTGGCAGCACCATCGTGTGCAGAGAGATCGAGTTAGAGTGTGCAGAGGGACCGTCAGAGAGCACGAAGGGATACGTGTTTCCAAGCACCCCTGGTGCGCAGCCTGCGTTTATATACGTCGACGTGCGTGTTCATTGTTCCTACTTTCCCTTTCCGCCGCAATAGGATTGGTTCTCTTGCCGTCGTTCGTCCCTCACGAAGAGCAGAGGCGTCTCGTGCGCTGGGCGCTGTGCGACCAGGCTCGTCACCCAAACGAAACCAACCTCGACACCCACTATGTTCTCCCCGAAGACGGACTCTGGAACAGGTACCTCGACGTCCACCGTAGTGCTCGCGAGGACGACTACATTCAGCCTCGGGCGTCGAGCTCCGAGCCCGGAACGGAGACACAATGCGAACCTCCTGGGCCCCGCAAACTGATCTCGAACGAGGCAGCAGGTAAAGACAACTTTTCCGCGCTATCTACTACTTCAAAGTTGCCCCCAGCACCGTCCCCGACCGCCCACCCAGCGCCTGCCTCCACGCTCGTGCCAAAGCTGCGGTGGGCCAACATTGGCTGGTCTTATCACTGGGGGACAAAACAATACGACTTCTCGAGGGGCAAGGGTGCCATTCACGAGGAGATTCAGACTGTATGCCGACGAGCCGTCCAATCGATACGCTGGGACGAGATATTTCACGGGCCAGATGTCGACAGCGGCGATTGGGGAGACGGGGGCCCCGATTGGGATACGTGGCATGAGACATACGGTAGGACGCTTACGGACCACGCGAACGAATGCTCATCACACGCGCAGAGCCCGATGCTGGCATCGTGAACTTCTACCAGACGAAGGTGAGCGTGACGATTGTCGCTCCAGACCTGCGCGCACTGGAATGACCATCTTCAGGACACCCTCATGGCCCATGTAGACCGCTCGGAAGTGTGTGCCACATCTCCCCTTGTCTCGATTTCGTAGGGCGCGTCTTCCGCAAATGATGATATGAGCGCTCAGACTGATTTTCTTAGGCTGGGTTGCGCCGCGATCTTCCTCATCGGCGGTCTCACGAGGGACGTAGAGCCCACCGCGATTCTGTTGCGTTCGGGCGACGTCGTGATCATGTCAGGGCCCGCGTGTCGACGGGCCTACCATGGTGCGTCCCTTTGCAAGGTGCCCCAGCATCTCTGACGCTTAGCGTGTTGAACCAGGCGTTCCTCGAATACTGGAAGGCACACTTCCGCCTCATCTCGAAGCGGGAGTCGACGCGGGATGGCAGTTGTATGAAGAATATCTGCACAGTGCGAGAATTAATGTCAACGTGCGACAAGTTTTTCCAAGAGGGTTTGTACCGTCTGAGGTAGGACAAAGCGCACAGGGCAAGCCGACACGCACCGACGTGCAATTTGCGTAGCACTTTCAGCGGTAGATGCTGTATCATAGACTTTACTATACCTTGATGGCCTATGTAGAACCTATCTATATATTGTGCATTAGAAAAACATCTACAGCACATTAAAAGTTAGATATGAGGCAAGCAGCGCTGCCAAGATGTCGACGCATGTCGTGATAGTCCACGTCGTGTGCTGGTGGAAGCCAAGTCAGTCAACTTCCGGTGGAGATTGGGACCTGAATATAAGCTTACAGTCTTCGACCTCACCCCAACGCTCGATCTGACTGTTCACCTCAGCATGCGCAGCCTGAGCGGCCTGCTCGACCGATATTCTCCTCATCACCAGGGCGAGCGCGATGAGGAATGATTTTGATGTGTATGTCGCGCGTTCCATGGCTGTTTGCACCTCAGTTGGGCACACAGATACCAGCATAGAAGAGATGCCGACCCACCTGCCATCTGCCAGTGGTCAAAGTTCGTCATGACCTCATCCAATTTTTGTACCGTCTCTGGCGGATGTGGGCCTAGAAGGAGGGAGTCCGACGTGCTGATGTCTACATTATATGTCGTCCGTGTCCAGTCGAGAATGGGCTTCCAGTTCGCATTTTGGAGCGCAACAAGGGCCGCCGGCTCGCTGTGGTGGAAACTGGGCGCGTAAGGTGTGAGCATGACTCGAGCAGATAGCATCAACGACAGCGCACCATATTGTGTCTGTCTCAAAATATTTGAGCAGCTGTGCACGAACCTCCCGGCGAGTGTCCTCGTCGGAAAATGCGTCGATCGCCCTGGACGCGATGGATGTCTGCACATATGTTCAGTCATGGTGGTCTTTCAACGCCCACGCGACCCACCATCGGGAGCGTGTGGGGCTTCAACAGCGTCTCCTGGTTCTCCCACTCCGACGCAATCAAGGTGGCGACCAGCCGCTTATTCCGCGGCAGGATGAGGTGCTTTCCGCTAGGTGTCCGCAGAGGCCGCTTGTCTAGTGTGACCACAAAACCATCTTCCCGAGCGTCAATTCCGACTGTCTTCCAGAACCGTTTCAGCGTCGCCTCGGCACCTGGGGAAGATAGAGCTCAAGCCACTGTGCGGTAGTGAGACAGGTGGCATGGCTCACGATTCGTAGCAGTGACCGCTGGCCCAGACGTCGCGACTGTCGCTTGGGTTCGCAGAGCCCACGATCTCGGTGGAATGATTCTGCGTCTACATGATGAAGCAAAGAAAGATGCAAGGGGTCGACTGAGTCGCGACACTGGCATGGTTGGAAGGCTAGAGTCGGTGACGGGCGCGACTGGACTCCGGATGCGGGAGGCCAGCACGTGCGTGCGATCGCCCCGCCGCTGCAATAAAGGACGCCATACCCATTCTCAGCCGCAACATTGATTTAGACAGCCGTTCGCGCAGTTCATACCACCACAATTTCAGGGAGAAAATTCAATTATATAATTCTACCTGAGGCTCCACCGGCATTATTGCGAGGACCGACTCACTTCGGTTCACGCCAACCAGCACGGGAAAACATCTACACGTCCTACCACGCCCGCTTTCCGTCTGGGAAGAACTTCTCCCTCGCCTCCCTGCCTACAACATGCACGGCAAACTCGCCCGCATCTATCATGGCCCACCCGTCGCTCACGCGACGTTTTGAGTTGGGCGGAAGCGGGAGGGGCGGGTCCGCCGTCAACAGCTACGCAGGTATGCAAAGCCGGTCAGCTCTGCAGAGCACGTCACGGAAACGAACATGCACACACCGTCTTCCGCACGATGCGCACGACAGACTCGATTGCGCCTCTCTTCTCCGTCCCTTCCTTCACCTGCTCAAACATCAGTAGGGCATACCAGTACGTGTATGCAGCGCGGTAAATTACCTGTGCAAGGACAATCCAGCTCCAAATGCCCCCGGTGTGATCCTGCACACCCTCCCCTGCATACGTCCGTCCGCGCTTGCGCCGCCCCTTTGGCACCGCGTCCGGCAGGGGCGGGCCCACGTCTGTCGGGATGGGCTCCCGCACGAAAAGCATGCCCGGCTCGAGGTGGGGCGACGTGCTCAGTGCACTGTGGAGCTGTGCAACCGGGCTGCCCGGTGGGATCACCGACGGCAATGGACGGACATCGGCGAGGGCAGGCCGACGGGGTTGCGTGGTAGGCTTTGTGGGTAGCGCGTCGGAGGGGTCAACGAACCAAGGGAGAGAGGATGCGCTCGAGGACGAGGGCACGGTGGAGAGCGGTCGCCGGGAGAGGCCGTGAACGAGACGTCGCTGGCAACGTCGGGAGCAAAGTCGAAGAGCCTGCATGACGGCGATAATTGCAAGAGAGTACCGCCAGAATGAGGACCACGAGATCTGGGCAGCGTTGCCACGTGGGCGCGCTGATGCGCCCACCTGCCGAAAATGGATGAAATCTTCGGTGCTGTCCCCGGACTCTCCGTCGCTGTTATTCACGGTGGCGAGGCCGGATTCGATGATGGGTACAGTGAGCGCGATGGCGCACACGGAGATGAGGCGGGGGCGAGCGATGGGCGGTCCGGCGCTTACTGAGTGACACTTTATCACGAGCATGCGAGAGTCTTCTCTTCCTCTGCCGACAGTCGTACGCGCTCCTCCTCCCCTCCCCTCTCCTCCTCTCCCTCACGCTTTCCCCACGCCAGCAACGCCGACAACCAACCTACAATGGCTGGTCTCCGCATGAGCGTCGTCGTCTGCGCGACGGCTTTCCTCCTAGGTGAGTAGCCGCGGGCGCCCCGGTGCAATCGAGACTCGGATGCCAACGACAGCGCTGACCGTCGTTCTGGCGCACGCGCGTCTTGCGCTGCATTTTATACCTAGGCCTGCTCTTCACGCACTGGATTGCGGACTCGAACACGCTCTGGAAGTCGCCCGAGACGCAGACCGATGACCGCCTTTGGGCCGCTGCGACGTACTACGCCATCCTGTCGCGCATGCCTATGTGGCTTGCGTATGTCTATGCTGCCGCTGCTGTATTCGGTGGTACCACGATCCTATGGAGCCTCCGCGACGGCCGCGCCGGGAACTTGATGTTTGATGGGGGCAGCATCTGTGAGTGTCTCCGCCTCGCATTTTCTTGCTGCGACTCACATCCTACGCTCGGCGAACAGTCTTGTACGGCTCGGCGATATACATATACATAGACTCGGTGCTTCCAAGTGCGTGCCTTCCACAACCTGGAGAACTAGATCTTTGATGCTGATGCTGCTGTTCCCTCCATCATTTCCCACTGAACAGATATCCTCACGAACTTCACGTCACTCCCTCTTCCCTTCCCCTCACAGTCCTCACCCGAGTCCCCATCAGTTGCGTCATCACTGCCACCGTTTCCGCCAAGCTTGCGCACACCCACACTCGAGCTCGCTTCCTCCCACCTTGCATGCAGCGTCGTACTTACCGGCGTGCTTGTGCTCCAGGCCGGTCGATGGTGGGCTGAGCAAAAGGATCTCGATGTGGACGACGGGCTGCTCGCGGATGACGAGGACGAGGGCCGGACACGGGAGAGCACTCCCATACCGGCAGAGACTAAAAAGACGAAGTAGGCGCGGGCGACGCTGTCGGAGAGACAGTACGGCTGCGGTCGCAGACTGACGGCTGGGCGGCAGGATCTAGGCATGACCATGCTTTCGTATGTTCTGGCGTTATGTGTATCTGAGATGACTGCTATCGATATCTGTTTTGGCATAATTTTGATTTTACAGTGCTTCGCCAGTGTACCTCGCCCTCATGCTCATGAGACTGGGCGTACGCATAATTATATTCAAAATTCAAAAGCCCGGATCTGATATCAGTTCACTTTCGACGTCAAGAGCTGCGCAGATGCCCTTGGCTAGTGCTGAACTCGCTCGTCTGCGCCTGTCGAGTACGCGATCACGTGGGGGCGCGTATCGGCCAGAACGCGATAGTCCGTTCGCGCCCCTGCCTCGTCCATCGTTTGCGGTCTACATCATATCCAGACCTTTTCATCATGTCTCCCCCGACCTGCAGATGAAACACGCTCGGAACTGGGGGCCATGTACGTCGAGCCAGAGCCAGATTAGCCTGCAGCTCCTGCTCTACCCGATGACACTGTCTGAGCAGTGGCCTGACTCTTGTACACCCTTGCCATAGGCGCGATAGGGAAAGGATAAATACAGGGACATGGAGGCATGTCCTACATTGACCCATCTGAGCAATTCATATCCACCTAGATCCAAGCGTCCTACCCATCCTCCACCCTATTTACCAAACCTTCTTAGAAGCACCATGATGAGCCTTCTCGTCCATCGCGCTCCTGTGAGTTGCAATTTCTTTCGCCTAATTGCTAAATCACTTCTCATACAACCTCCGTCTTCATTATAGAGCCTCGTACTCTTTAGCACCATCCAGATCGCGATGTGGAGCTGGGTCTACAGCCAGTACCGGACACCAAGGTAAGCGCCACCCCCCCCCCCCCCCCCCC